GATAGAAATAGATGAAAAGCATCATTGTAATTTATTCCAAAGGTCAGGAGTGAAACCAGAGATTTGATTAGTAGAATATGTATAGGTCTTGCCTAGGTTGTCTGGGACTTGGGGCTCATTTGTATAGAGAGTATAGTCAAATAAATTTAAGATGATGGCCATAACAAAACAATCAAAGGTGTGCCTGGTTTTTATATGTGTTTCAACAAAAAAACAGATATTTTGATTTCCCATTTCGGCTTTGTCCTCCTCCTTCTCCCCATACTCTGAAGGTGTGCTTGGTTGGAATGGAATCCAGGAGCAGCAAGTAAAATCTAGTTGTATTTAACTGACACAGATGATGCTTGCACTTACATTGTGTGGTACCTTACAGTAGAGCTTTAACAGCATTTAGCATTTAGACTTATATACGGCTTCTTAGTGCTTTAAGACAGAGTTGTGTAAGCAGTTTACAAAGTTAACATATTGCCCCCAATGATCTGGGTCCTCATTTTACCAATCTCAGAAGGATGGAAGGCTGAGTCAACCTTGAACCAGTCAGAATTGAACTCCTGGCTGTCGGCAGAGTTAGCCTGCAATACTGCATTCTAACCATTATGCCACCAAGGCTCCTAAGTATTTCAAAAAATAAAATAAAATGACTGTGAATAGCTCACTTCTCTTGGATAGAGAGAAACACTTGTTCATAAATGTGACATAAGTGCATGCATTCTTCTTTTCTAGGTCCAAATTACAAATTTGAGCAAAATTCTGAATCACTTACAAAGGCCAAAATTCTATCAAGAATAGAAAACAATGAAGTCTTTTTATATGATTAATGTGATTGTCAGGGGCCTAAGAAAATATAACTTCAGAAATGCTTTATGGAGATATTTGTATCTCAAAAATTCACATTTTTCTTCTTTGTTTCCTTTACATTAGGTAAAATGAAATCAACAAAGGCAGCCAGTTGCCAAAAGGGTAGAGGCTGCCTTTTTTTCTCAGATGGCAGCAGCACAAAAGTGAAGGGAGCTGAGAGGGGCCTCCAAAGTCTTGTGCTATAGAAACAGCCCTGCGCTTTAAATGGGGCAAGGGAAAAGGAGAGAAATTGACGTAGATAGGTTTAGATCCATTTGGAGAGGGGAAAATGCAGGAAAATAAAAAGATTCAAAGTCTTTCAATTATCATGCTAGTTAGTGGCGGGATTCTACTGGTTTAAAAACCGGTTCGGTGATCACGCACTTCTTTGCGCCTGCTCAGTTTTGAGAAAAAATACCTTCCGCATTACTTCATCGTCAGAGAGAACCGGTTTGCCCCAGCTGATGGCCGGAGCTACTGATTCGCCCGAATCCGTCCAAACCGGTAGAATCCCACCCCTGATCCTAGCCAATATGTTGAGGTAGTCCTTGACATACACAGTTCGTTTAGTGCAGGGGTAGCCAACCTTTTTATACCTACCGCCCACTTTTGTATCTCTGTTAGTAGTAAAATTTTCTAACCGCCCACCG